ACTCACAAATCAGTAGCTTTTATATATACCAATAATAGTCAAGCCAAAAAAACAGTCAAAGGCTCTATTCCCTTAACAGTTGTGCTAAAGAAGATAAAGTATTTGGAAATTTACTTAACAAAGGATGAAAGATCTCTACAAAGGGAATTATGAAACTCTGAGGAAAGAAATAGCTGAAGACGTTAACAAGTGGAAAAACATACCATTCTCATGGCTGGGAAGAAACATTGTTAAAATGCTCATATTACCCAAAGCAATTTACAAATTTAATTCAATCCCTATCAAAGCATTACCATCATACTTTAAGGATCTGGAAAAAATAGTACTTAAATTTATATGGAACCAGAAAAAAACTCAAATAGCCAAGACATGTTTCACAAATAAAACAAATCAGGAGGAATCATGCTACCAGACTTCAAACTATACTATAAATCTATAGTGATCAAAACAGCATGGTATTGGTGCAAAAATAGATAGATGTATGGAACAGAATTGAAAAACAAGAGATGAACCCAGACACTTATTAACATTTGATCTTCCATAAACCCATCAAAAATATAAATTGAGGGAAAGATTCTCTAATTAACAAATGGTGCTGAGAGAAGTGGCTGGCGAATTGTAGAAGACTGAAACTGGACCCACACCTTTCACCGTTAACACAAATTGACTCTCACTGGATAAAAGATTTAAACTTAAAACATGAATCTATAAAGAATCTTGGGAAGAGTGCAGGAGAAACACTTGAAGAAATTGCCTGGGAGAGTATTTTATGAGGAGGAACCCCCAGGCAATTGAGCAACACCAAAAATACATTACTGGAATCTGATCAAATTAAAAACTTCTGTATGGCCAAGAACACAGTATGTAAAGCAAGCAGACAGTCCTCAGAATGTGAAGGGATATTTGCAGGTTATGCTTCTGAAAAGGTTTGATAGCCAGAATCCACAGAATCCAAATTTTTTAGTAAAAAAGAACATCCCAGTTTATTGTGAGCAATGGACTTGAAGAGAAGCTTCTCTGAAGATGACAGGTGCATGGCCTACAAACACATGAAAAAATGCTCATCACCTTTAATCATCAGAGAAATGCAACTCAAAAGTACTTTGAGATATCATCTAACTCCAGTATGAGTAGCCCACGTAAAAAAAAAAAAAAAACCAAAACTGCAGATGTTGACATGGATGTGGAAAAAGGGAACACTTCTGCACTGCTTCTGAGAGTGCAAGCTAATACATCCCTTTTGGAAAGTAGTATGGAGAATACTCAGGGATCTAAAAGTAGACCTGCCTTTTGATCCTGCAATTCCTTTACTACGTGTATATCCAAAAGACCAAAAATCACTTTATTACAAAGATATTGGCACAAGCTTGTTTGTTGCAGTTCAATTCATAATAGCCAAATCATAGAAGAGGTCCAAGTGCCATCAATCCATGAATGGATTAATAAATTGTGGTATTTGTATACCAGGGAATATTATGCAGCCTTAACAAAAATGGAGACATTACCTCTTTTACATTTACATGGATGGAGCTGGAATATATCCTAACTAGTAAAGTATCTCAAGAATGGAAGAAAATATATCCAGTGTACTCAGTACTATTATGAAACCAATTTACAATCACTCACACTTTCATATGAAAAAATAGATCACAACTAAGGCCCCCCAGATGAAAGAGAGAGGAGGAGGGGATAGGAAGGGAGAAGGAGGTCAGATTTAGGGAGGGTGGTGGGATCACACCTATGGTTTATAATGTGAGGGTACATGTCTGATCTATTAAGTATAGAGTATAAATGTCTTAACACAATAATTAAGTAAACAAGATGAGGTATATATTAACCAGTGTGATGTAAACACACCTAATTCTATGAAATCAGCACATTGTACCTCATAAATGCATTAATGTATATATGATCTATGTGTTTATGATTTAATAATAAAAAAAAGACAAGTAACATTGAATTTGAGTGTAGGGCTATAATACAATTATCACATTCCTTCTATGCACTGTCTGAAATGTTGACTTGGAAAACAAGTCAGTGATAAAAAGATCATTCATTCAAAGGAGTCTTTTGTAAAATTTTAAAATAGTAAGGGGTACAAACATTTTTGTAAGATGGAGAGTTTTACAATGCTGAAGTCAGGGCTTCCAGTCTGCCCATTACCCAAATAGTGTTCTTTTACCACTCTCTGCCTCTCCCTTCTTGATTTCCAAACTTTATACCTAATTGTGCCTGTGTGTGCTCATCAATTAGCTCCCAGTTATTAGAAAACACATGTGGTATTTTCTATACCATTCCTGAGATACCTCACTCAGGATAATGGTCTTCAGTTCCATCTGAGTTGCTGCAAAAAAAAAAAAAAAAAAAAATTGTTTCATGGTAAATGGCATCTTTTCTTAGCCCTATGACTAAAACTGACCTACATATGCAGACATGTCTGTCTTTCTTCTGTCATATGGACATGATTTCCTTGTGATTACTGCTGCCTTTTTGAGATTAAGTAGAGTAATGAACAATAGTCCTTGTTCACCTTAAGACACAGAGGATGTCTATTGCATTTAGAAATCAATTTCTTTATAATGATAATACATCCAGTGGAAGTACTCCTGTTTCCCAAGAAACTCCAAGTGTTACTTACTCTTCAAACATAATTACTGAAAGACACCCACACATGTCCTAGTTTGGACAAAAAAAAAAAAAATTATATTGCCATCTTTTGAAAGCCATTCTTCTAATGGTTGATTCTGGATACCAGTAGGGGTCACAAGTGGTTCATTGAATTGTTTCCCTCCCTACTTCTATGATGAATAAGGTAAATTTGGTTTAGAATTAGACAGGTGAGCCCTTAAGAGTCTTGTCATGGCTGAAGAGATGCAAACTTTCTATAAGACTTGCCCAAAGGTATTTTCATGGCATTCAGGACATCAAGGGTAATACGAGAACAGCTCTGATGGCTGTTCCAGAGAAAGTTCCAAAACTACTCTGAGAGATTAAGCAGGCAGGGACATCAGTGCATAGCTTCCCAGGAGAAGTCCTTCAAAGGTTATTGTAGGAATATTCAGAAATGAGTTATGTTGCACTTTTTCTAGGATGAGTTCACAGACGTAATTATCACAATAGTATATTGTATGTGTGAAGAAATATATACAGAGAGTGTGCCATACTTATATCTATATAGAGAGATGTAGACACAGATGAATGCCACATTTTCTTGTCCATTCATATGTTGATGGTCACTAAATTTATTTCTGTAGGTTGGCTATTATGAATATGCTGTATTGGACATGGGAGTTTGGTTAACTTTTCAAGACAGTGACATTATTTCCCTTGAATGTATACCCAGAAGTGAGATTACTGGATTATATTGTAGTTTTAATTTAATTTTTAAAGAAACTTTCATACTGTTTTCCAAAATGACTTTCCCCTCCCCATTTAAATTTCCACCAAAAGTGTTCCCCCTTTCTCCAGTGCCTCTCCAATACTTGTTTTTTCTTTGTAATAATAGAAGAAAAGATGTTACCTTTTCCAATTTTAATTTATATTTTTCCAATTATTATTGATGTTTTTCATGTGGCAGTTGAGCATTTGTATGAAAAATGTCTGTTGCGATCTTTGGCCCATTATTTATTTATTTATTGGGCAATAGCATCATATGATTCCTCTATATATTTTAGAGATTAACCTCTTATCAGAGTTATGCCTTGTAAATACTTTCTTGCTTTCCACAGGTTGCCCTTACTTCTGTGGACTGTTTTCTTTGTTGTGCAGAAACTCTTTTCTTTGGTTAAAGTATCTCTTCACTAGGTCAGCTCCACTTAATCTATTCTTGCTTTTGTTGCCTGTGCTTTTGGTATCAATTTGAAATGACACTTGCCAAAATTAATTTTAATGAGATTCCCTCTACAATTTCTTTTAAAATTTTCACAGTTTCAAGTCTTAGTTTAAGTTTACTCATTTTTGAGTTGATTTTTTTTTTTTTAGTAGTAGAAGACTAGCATCCACTTTATTTTCACTCTGAGTTTTTCACTCCACTATCTCATAAAGTATTCTAAACATTTTTCGATCATCACTTATACTGATTATATGCAGTACTTTCAAAATGTTACCAACTAAATTTAGAATTAGGATGAAAGAAGGGACAGAGACCACCTGAGACTCATGTTTTATTCATTCCTGCAGTCTAGCATCTACCACCTATGTACTGAATGAAAAAAACGAAGGTAAGGTGTGTTGCTGATGGTAATACTATGCTAACAATCACAGAAGAAGAAAATCCATCAGAGGCAAGGTAAGGTTATTCACTTCCTGAATAACATTGTTGAGTATGTTGAGGAGAGTTAGACTTCCATTTGGTGGGAGCCCACGAAAGGATTATCAGACAACATTGAATATCAATCTGTCACAGCCCCCTCTCCCATTCCTCTCAGTCCTTAATTTTCACGACATCTCACTCCTTCCAAGGCAGTGCTAAAGATTCCTCATCACTCTTAGGACACGTCCCTTGTTTTTCCTCTTTCAATCAGGTCTTGGTGAGACAAAAGTGGCAGCTAAGGCTAAGCTGGCTCAGGGGAAAAACACCAATGTAGCTGGTATAACATGGAGGGAAAATGTATCTTTTAGCAGGAGAACTTGGCAGAGTCAAGTCTATGAGGGTCGTGATAAGCAATTAGAGAGAGAAAGAGCTTTATAGGGAAGTCTAAAGACAAGTAATGTAAAAAAACTAGGAAAAATATAACTCCCAAATCAAGCCTCCACTTGAACCCTTCTTCAAGGAGTGGTACAACATAGGAAGCAGGGGCTGTTGCCTGTTTCCCACATGTATTAGCTGTCTGCAGCCTCAGCTCCTTTCATGGGGTTCAGTACATAGATCTATTTTCCCAAGGTCTCAACTAACCCCTCATTGTTATCGTTGTTTCTTTTTTGTTAAATACTTTGCCCTTTCATGTGCCCTTTTGAATGAGACATTCAGAAATAAGTTAAACACTTGAAACACATTTCACTGCAATGAAAATAATTCTTCTTTATTAGGCAGAGGCCAGATGGTCAAGGCCCTTCATAATTTCTCTGTGTTTTGTAGGTAGGTTCTGGGAACACTGGGTCTTTAATAGGAACTCAGTAGCAGGAAAGGAGCTCAGTGGTATTTGTGAGCCAGGGCAGTAGCCACACCAGCCACCACCTTCTGATAGGCAGCCTGCACCTGTGGGGTGAAATCCTTGCCAAAGTGGTGAGCCAGCACAACCACCAGCACGTTGCCCAGGAGCTGTGGGGAAGAGACCAGAGTTATATTAACATGATTAACAGGGAGACACAGCTTGGATTCAGGATAATTTAGCCTCATCTTAGGCTGTATTTAGCACTGAGACCATAAAATAAACGCAGGACAATAGCTGGATCTTAGCTACTACTGCCAATACAAAACCCACTGCATCACTCTTGGTTTATTTGCAAACTATTTTTCCCTATTACTATATCTCAGAAATGAAATTCTCATTATTATTCTTTAGAATGTTATAAAGCCGTCAAATATGTTCCATAATCCTTGTCTTAAAAGGAAGAGATTAGAGAAATTATTGAAAATAAGCCAAACAAAAAGATTTTTTTCATTACAAATGCAAAATTATCTTGATTTGATTATTATACAATATATATAATGTATCAAAACAATGCACTTTATATATGTACAGTTATTATGTGTCAACTGAAAATAAAATTAAATAAAATTGAAATTAAGTAAAGTCAGTAGATTAGAAATTTCAAAAATAATATTAGCACATACTAGGCAGACTATTACACTTTTCTGGTTTCATTTCTTTTGTTTTGTTTGTCACTTAAGTTATTTTGGTGATATTTTCCATTTGTGATATAAAAAGCTAACTCGTTAAAAGAACCACAATAAATTATAATAAAAGAAAAAGAGGAAAATAAGAAATAACAGTGGAAAGAAATGGTTGTGAAGATAAAATAAATTACATAGTCCTGAGGGCTCCTGGTGATGCCACCTGATACCTCTTTCCCATTCCAAATTGAACCTGGCATTCATGCCCCTTCGATGCAGCATGAATTTGACCATAGAAAGAAAGAAAGAAACATGGAAGGTCCATAGACTCACCCTGAAGTTCTCAGGGTCCACGTGCAGCTTGTCACAATGCAGCTCACTCAGCTTAGCAAAGGTGCCCTTGAGGTTGTCCAGGTGATTCAGGCCCTCGCTAAAGGCACTCAGCACCTTCTTGCCGTGGGCCTTCACTTTAGGGTTGCCCATAACAGCAGAAGGAGAGGACAGGTCCCCAAAGGAGTCAAAGAACCTCTGGGTCCATGGGTAGACAACCAGCAGCCTGAGGGGGTGAAAGCAGCCCAGGAGAAAGATACGGTCAGTGCTTGTCAGAAATTCAGGAGACTGCTCTGTCTCCACATGCCCAGCTTCCATTTGCCTCCTTAAGCTTGTCTTATACCCCAATACCTACCTGCCCAGGGCCTCACCACCAACTTCTTCCACATTCACCTTGCCCCACAGGGCACAAACGGCATTCTTCTCATCAGGAGTCAGGTGCACCATGATGTCTGTGGTTGCTAGTGAACACAGTTGTGTCAAAAGCAAGTATAAGCAGCAGCAGTTCCCTGCCCTGCCTTTTATGCCCTGCCCTGGTTCCTGCCCTCCCTGTACCTATGAGGAGATAGGCTGAACTCAGGGTGTGGCTGTGCCGGAGGAGGGCTGAATATTGGTGGCAATGCTTGTTGGTGGCAGTTCTGGCACTCACTTAGGAGTCTGATTTCACATCGTCAGCCCTCCCTGTGTGTAGCTCATGGTCCCATCCCAGCAGCAGTTATTGCTACTAAACACATTCTCCTTGGTAAGTCCACTTATACAATTTTGAGGATCAAAGCCTGGCAGTCCTATTAGAGATTGCTTCCACAGCTTTCTTATTTCAGGAATGAGGAATGAACATACAGAAAGTGGAAGGGATTGATTTGCTAGTTGTGGTTCAACTAAGAGTACAAGGAAGTATTTCTTCCTATGTCTCAGGAATAGGCAAAGTAACCAAAAGGCAGAATGGAGGAAAGTTCTGCCGTGGTTCTAAATTATTTTTCTCTTTCTAGTTTATATTAAACTTTCCTGGTAGGTAAATACATTATCAATTCATTCGTTCATTTATTTTATTTAATCATCCAGCCAAATAAATGATTTCCACTAAATAGAGTTGATAAATATAAATCAATTCTGCCCTATGCAAGAGTTACACTAACAGGTTTTGGGGATAAAGAGACACAAAAAAATAGAGAGAGTTTAATTCAGGTAGAAAGATAAAGAAGTATAAAGTCAATTACAACTCAAAATTGTGAGTAGCACGATGTAAGCAATGGTTTCAAATGGGAGGTTGACCAAGGACTTCTGTTTCTGCCTAGAGTAATGTGAGAAGGTGTCAGGGGAGCAGAGGAACTTCTGTGAGTTAAAAGCAGGGTTAAGAAAAGGGAAAGCCATTCTAGCCTGTGTTCGGATTATTTATTTTTCTCTAGACCACTAAGAATTCTGTGTTTTAGAATCCCCTCCTTGACACAAATTCACATTTCTCTATATATTTCTTCTGTTTGTTTAATCCTCTTTTTACTACAATTTACATTCAGACTATTTTTAAATTCCAGTTTTCAAATGTGGATATCAGAAGCATATATATGTGAAAGGTGTTCTGGGGATATTTGAATATGACTTTTGCCATACTCTTGTATCATAAAAAGTCCACAGGCCTTATGAAATAATAATATATAATATGTTTTCATCACATGTTAAATAGGCAAATTGTCAAGGCTACAGTTTTGATATCTTGATAGGCAGAAACTATCATCTTCTTAACAACTTCCCTAGCAATTTCTTATGCTCAGAAATGGTTTTCCTAGGTTCTTCTGCTTTGCTTTCTTCCATAATGATTGGTCTATTGAACACTATCTTATACTGGCAATTGCTAAAGACACCATTATCCCTGTTCTGATGGTTGCTGCTCTGACAGTTGCTGCTTTGTATGAGTAGAGTCCTAAATAGACATTTCTCTGTATCCCTATATCCCTACAGGGACAAGGCTGAAAGTTAATAAGACTATCAAACACTCAGGGTAGGTTATAAAGAAGGATAAATAGTGATAAATGTGGTTATGCTTATGTGCACAGTCACATGTTCAAATCCAGATCCAAAAGTCCTGGGAAACTATCTAGGACCACTGCCATCTTCACAATTGTGACCTGACTCTATCCCCAGAGTGAGTGGACCCTACAACTTGTCTATTGTAGTTTGACTTCAGCATCACTGAGCACTAAACATACACACTCATAAACACTCACACATACACTCACACACACACACACATACACTTATCCTATGCCTATCCTATGCCGACCATGCCTATCCTTGGTCTGACTGTAACTAAAAGGATGGATATTACTTTGCTTCAAGAGATCCATGTCCTCTTGAATTCTTCAGTATTGTGATTTTTTAGGCCAAACATCTTGACTAGATTCATTGACAACTTCCAGAAGTTGAGGAATAGAAGATGGTACAGTAAACTATTTTGTTCTTTCCATGACATTTTGGGGAAAAGGAAAATAGTATACTTCTCTGTTTTAAGATCATGATGTCCATAATCTTTCTTAACCACTCTCAAATCATCTGAAGGTATCTTGTAATATGTGATTCGTACAAGGACCTTGCTGAACAATGCGAAAGTGCCTATATTGCCTTGTAGTAGCTCTGCTTCTGGGTTTACATCCCAGAAGCAGAGTTCTTTGAGATTCTATTCTGATGTAAAGAGTTGTCTATGGCTACAATGCATGAAGACCCAAGAAAGAAAAAAAAAGGGGGAATATAAAAGAACACCTGCCCCTGGGCAACTCAAAATACTGTGTCAAAAACAGTAAACTGCAATGCATTGCCCATGTGTCCTGGCAGTATAGGGTGATCATAAGAACACTTTAAAAAAGAAGGATGCAACTAGTTAGAAGGTTTTAAAAATTCTTCTAATTTTACATTTGAGAGAAACATTGTTCAAATGAATAAATTTTGGTACTTATGACTAGAAAGAAAATGAGTATTTAGAGTTGTTTTCTCCATTCATGCTTCCTGGCTGAACACTGTAAAATTAACACCAAAGGGACTATATACAAAGGTCTTATTGTTTGGATTGTCCTCTATTTACAGAAGCTCTAAGTTATGAATAAGTATTCATTCATTAATTATTTTAGTGAATATATATTTACTTACTGCTGATGGAAAAATTTAGGACAAGACACCATAGGCATGCAAGATAGCACAGAATAGGCAGAAATGTTTGTAAAATATGGAGAGAAACAGAGAGATGGATAAGAAGAAATATGAAAAGGGGGTGAGGGGTAAGGTTTGGAAAGATTTCCTTAGGTAGTCTTGAAAAGTTCACTGAGACTGAGGTCACAAAAAATATGTGATCATTCAGTTTTTCATGAAACAGAGGCAGAGAGAACAAGAGAGCATTATTTTAAGAGATGTTTTAAGGCAAGTAAGAGATGAATGCCATTTCTTAGAGAAGGAACACTTGATGGAGTGCAGGGTTATGACGACAACGTGCAGGCAGGCAAGTAGGGAGAAAGGAAACCTAACATTGTCTTTAGCAGTCATTAAAACTGTAATTGAGAATATTCTTTTCTCAGGAATTGTCACAGGTGGACCAAACACTAGCCTTGAGGCTATGTCTCCAGTACAGCCTCTGCATTGCCCAAATCCTCTCTACGTCAAGCATTCTCAGCTGTTTCTATGCTTTGGTGGAGGAAATATCACCCTTTAAGTGTCTGTGCATGGCTCTCTTACTTTTATTATTTCCCTTGAACTCTTTGAATAAGACACAAGATCTTCATATCGGTAGACCTTCAGAGAATCTTCTCACATTGCCAGCAAAAAATAAAATAAGTGAAATGAATCAGAAAATTGAGCTGAATTCTTTATTAAGCAGATACCATGCCCTTCAAGGACATGTTATTTTTCCATAATAAAATCTATGAAAATGGGGTCTTCCACTGGTCCCCAGGAAACCGGCCAGGACCTCAATGATATTTGTGAGCCAGGGCAGTAGCCACACCAGCCACCACCTTCTGATAGGCAGCTTGCACTTCCGGGGTGAAATCCTTGCCAAAGTGGTGAGCCAGGACAACCACCAGCACGTTGCCCAGGAGCTGTGGGGAAGTGACAAGAGGTATGAAGAAGATTAGCGGAGAGAACACAGTCTGGACTCAGAATATTTTAGCCTCATCTTAAGCTGTGCTTAGCATTGTGGCCATAAAATAAATGCAGAACAATCGCTGGATTTTAGCTGCTACTACCAATATGAAATCCACTATATTAGTCATTGTTAATATGCAAAAATATTTTCCCTATTACTATAACTCAAAAATTAAATTCTCACTATTATTCTTTAGAATAACGCAAAGCAGCCTAATATGTTCCATAGTCCTTGTCTTAAAAAGAAGAAATTAGACAAATTATTGAAAATAAGACAAACCAAAGAAGATAAAGTTTTTCTTTTAACTACAAATGTACAATTACCTTAATTTGATTATTATACAATGTATATATACATGTCAAAACATTTCACTTTACCCCAATATGTGTCAACTAAGAATAAAATTAAAATTAAAATAAGTAAGTAGATTAGAAATTTCCAAACAAAAAGTGGCAACATACTAAGTAGACTATTATACTCTTACAGTTCTGTTTATATTGTCACTTAAGTTATCTTGGTGACATTTCACATTTGTTACATAAAAATTTAAATTGTTAAAAGAACTACAATAGGGAGAGCCTGTAGCTCAAAAGAGTAGGGCACCAGCCCCATATGCCAGATGTGGTGGATTCAAACCCAGCCCTAGCCAAAAACTGCAAAAAGGAAAAAAAAAAAAA